GTTGTCTGAATAAAATAACGTTCCCCTTTAAACTTTTTGGTATACTACCGAGCCAATAAACTATTATTTTTTCACTATGAAGGAAACAAGCTCGCTGCTCAAGAGTGAAGATCTGAACAGCTCATTTTTTTGCTCAATTTCAAAGTTGATAAAAGTTGATCTTAACTTCTTATTGGTACAAAAATGGATCAAGTTAACAATTTAACATCCCCCAGCCCCCCCCCCCCCCCCCCAATTTTATTTGAGTCGATGAGCACTCAAAATTTTTTTTACTATTCACCTGCTCTGCTGATATATCTAATTTTTTTTATCTTGAAACTTTTGGTGGACATTACGCACAAACACACACCCACACACAATCGTACTCACACGCGAGCGCACTTAGACATATACACATATCTAAGATTATGCTTTCTATGTTCACCTATATGTTGCTTCTGATAGCTTTTGAAATAGAATTCAAAAAAAACTAATTTGCACTTGGCTTATAAGGAAAAATGAACATATGGTTGTTTTGGAAGTTTCAGCCGAAAAAAGAGAATGATTTTTTGACTCGTATTGCTCAACTTAGTTACTTTCATCTGAACTGAGCTAATTAAATTGATTTACTGACATTTTGTCAATTCAGTTGACATATAGCTTCATTTTCCAATTGTTACTTAGAATCTGGCCCGAACAAAGACGAGCAAGTTGTTTGCAAAAGAAAAACCGACTTCATAATTTTCAGTTTCGAGTTCTCGGAAAAACTTTATCTTCTTTTTCAAATTGGTCCTTTTTTCATTTTTTGCTTGTTTTCAATTGAAAACTACAGCAGGTTTGTTTCAAAAAGAAATACGAAAATTACGCAAAAAAAACGTGAAAGATTTTTAACTTTTGGCAATTGAGTTTCAGGGATTAAAATTGGGCGCTATAAAAGCAATTAGAGTTGATACAATTTTCTTCAATTGAGTTTTATGGGTCAGATGAAAATAATCAAGAATGAAACACACTAAAATTGCTCAAAAAAGCCGTTGAGAGTTTTAATTTCAGGAAAATAGGTTTGTTTTTTAGATTTATGTTCTAAAAAACCTACCGATTCAGTTTTTATGCAAGATTTAGTTCGATCACAAAAAATCTTAGAAAAAAAAGAGCTTGAGCATACTTCTAAGATTTCTGCATATAATGTATGGGTATATTTATCAAACAAAACCACAAAATTACTGATGTATGCGCATTCTAACAGCTTCGCTTATTGAAAATCATGCGTTCCAGTCGCCAGTGGATTCAGGGGGACTCAGCGCCAAAATATACTACTAGGGGAGGCGCGCGCTGAAAAAAAGAGATTTTTTGTCGAAATTTTCCAAAAAGTGTCTAAGAACGCCTTTTTTGGCCTGTTTTCAAAATTTTGTCTACGGCGCAGCAAATTTGAAGCCAAAAATAGTGTTTTTAGGGCTTTGAGAGAGCTCAGAGAATCATCGGCCTAAAAAAATTGATAAAAATCAGTTAAAAATGAAAAAGTTAGATTTTTTACTTGCGGTAATTTGTGTATATAAGAAATTTGTAAAGCTAAACAATAAAGTTAATACTGAAGAATTTAATTTTTAGATACTCGAAGCAGCTAGATACGTCACACTATTAACTTTTGCAACATTGTTAACTTTTGTTTAAAAATAAACTGAGTGACTTACCATCAACATTCTTGCGTTTTCTTGTTGTTAAAAAAGTCAGTTTAAATTGAGAAAAGTTATGATAGAGTTTTTACATGCAATTTTTGTGTATAAAAGAAACTTGTAAAGCTAAATAATACAATGAAAGTATTTATTTCCTTTCTGATCTAAGAAACCAAGAATGCTACTGCAGGCACCAGACAGATTCCTTTTCAATTTTGCCACAACCCGGTCTGAGACCTAATGCAGCGTGTTAAAGCAATCCCAAATGTTCACCTAAACGTTCTAGAAAGGTTTAGAAAAGAATTAGATACGTTTGGGGAATTACAACAAGCGCAAAACTGACAAGTTTTGTAAATATATCCTATTTCCAAACACAAAGCTCGAAAATTGTAATATGTTTGTGATTATTAAAATCAAGTGAACGAATTTTCGAGTAAAAGTTGAGAACAAAGTATGGTTCTGAAACATAAATTGTTGTCATTTGAAATAGCCCTAGAAAAATTATGCCAATAGGTAGTTTGTGTAGTTTCAATTGGAAGCTATAAGGCCAGATTAAATCATTTTTGTGAACTTTACTTGCTCAATAAACAATTAAGTCTTTAACGTTCTATGTTTTGAGAGCTAAATTTGCCGAATTGTTGTTTTTCATCTTTCTTTTCGTTTGTTTTTGTTCTAAGAAATTTTCAAGGTTCAATTTTTGCCAGTTTGAGTTTGGGTTTCTTATGTATTTACAACCTGATGGTTTGCAAATTAGGATATCCTGCAAAAAAAAAAGAAAAAAGAACAGAAAAAATATAGTTCGCAAAATTTTCATATTGTTTTTTCCGCTTTAGCTTTTTCTGGGAGCCAATCTTGCAATGCCTAGTTATACTTGATTTAAACATGATTCTGATACTTCCTTAATGAAAAATCTGTTCTTTGCTGTTTGATATCTTGGTAGCAAGTATGCTTGCAAGAAGTTTCAGGAAAAGTAGCACCGTTTGAAATCTTTACAAATGATGTTACTTTTCCCGAAACTTTTTGCAAGCATACTTGCTACTAAGGTAACAGCAATAATTTAAACGTATAAAAAATAAATCAAATTTTAAACCGTGACGACTCAACATGGAGCGTGAAAAGTACTAAGGATTTTTTCTTTGAACGCAAACTGTTTTTCTAAAAAATATTAAAAAGTCCAATTTTCAAACTATCAGTAATTCAAGTTTTTTGTTCACGTGCATTTATGGTATTGTTCATTTTGATATCAACTATAAACTAAATATAAATAAAGAAATCAAAGTTCAAACCGTGACGACTCAACATGGAGCGTGAAAAATACTTTCACATCTTTGAAAAAAGTAACATCTTTGAAAAAACTTAACAGACAAAGAGACATCGTTAAGTTGAAATTCACTTCCTGTTGTCTGTAACTCTCAAAAAAAACTAGAATCATTTTCAAAAAACTATTGACCAAAATTTTTCAGCAAAAGAAGACATAGAAGCGAATCCGATCTTTGCAAAGTCACGCATCAGAAACAAGCTCTAAAAAACGATAAAATACCTTCATGGAAAAGCAATATGAAAATATAAAGTCTCGATATTTAGGGATATGGAACTGCTGCGTCTCGACCAAGTGTCGTCGGTTTTGAGCAAGCTTTTCAAAGCACCAGTTTCAGATCTCTAAAAATCTGGATTTCATATTTTTTATACTGCTTTTCCAATGTAGGTATTTTCAGTGCTTGTTTCTGATGCGTGGCCTTGCAAAGATCAGATTCACTTCTGTCTTTTTGCTGAAAAATTTTGGTCAATAGTATTTTGAAAATGATTCTAAATATGTTTTTCTTAAGTGTTACAGACAAAAGGAAGTGAATTTCAACTTAACGATGTCTCTTTGTCTGTTTAATTTTTTCAAAGATGTTCCTTTTTTCAAAGATGTGAAAGTATTTTTCACGCTCCATGTTGAGTTGTCAGGGTTTGAGTTTTGATTTCCTTATTTATTAGTCAAGTTTATAGTTCATATCAAAATGAACAATACCAAAAATGCACATGAACAAAAAGCCTGAATTACTGATAGTTTGAAAATATGGGTTTTTTCATATTTTTTTAAAGAAAATAGTTTGCAATTAGTATGAAGCGAAATAACTAGATGTAAAACGTGATATTTTTTTCGGAAATTATTTTTCTGTAAAAATATCTAAGGTTTTCAAGCGTTCATTGAATCATATCACAGTCTGATGTCCTTGTAGTCATATGTTTGTCGATGTTTTGTCTCTGATATCATTTTGGTAAAGAATTCAAAGAAAACCTAATTTGCATTTGGCTTGTATTTCGAAAACGATTTTAATGTGTTAATGCCACATTTTTTTTCAAGCATCTTTCTTAAAGCTGCTTGTTTTTTTACTTGTCTTGGCAAAGAGAAGCTTTGCGTCTATGTCATTTTTACTATGTAGGTACGCTCAAGAAAAACTCTGTTTGACTATTGATTAGCATGAATAAAAAGCATTCAATTACTCGAATCCATTCTCGCAAATCATAGTTTTGCTTCGTTGTTCATATTTATGAAAGTATACAGTCCAACTTATTCATGAAAAAAAGTTTTTCTGTGTTTTTTTTAAATTATGTTATTAAAGAAAAAAGTCTTTAAAATTTTTTGCTCTTCAAAGAGACTGGCTGAAATTTGACGTTTGATTTTTCAGTTCATTTCAATTTGAACTGCTGACTGAGAAAAAGTAAATAACCAAGTCCTAATGGTCGCGAATGAAGAAGAACGAATTTCAGTTTCACAGGTGAGTTGAGAAAAACTCTCCAGCAAAACAAATCTAAGTGGTTCAGTTTTGTTTAAAAGTTAGGGTAGCAGACCGTAAGACAGACCGTAGGATAACGGTAAGACAACGATACAAAGACTGGATGAAGGTTAGAGGGTTTAAAAGATTAAACTGGTCTAAGACTAGTTAAAAACGATTATTAATTAAGGCGAGAACAATGAATAACATCTTCAGTCCTAGATACCATGTCGTCATTTCAACTTCAGCATCGTAAAATAATTCAAGGTTAAAATAGCACTGTTTGAACTTCCGCTGAAATAATCTAATGAAAAGTGAGTAAACAAAACTGATGAGAAACAAATTTTCGACCAAGAAACGAGAACTCGGTCGGATAGGGTAGCAACCAATGTAAAGTTGCGTCGCACTCGGTGTTCAAGGCATCAATATTTGAAGTTATCGGCTTTTTCAGCCAAGTCGATTCATGCTTTCCCGATCTATTATCAGAACATTTGACTAGACTCATAAACACTTGTTGTCCTAACAGACTTGGCAGTTGTTGCAGTCTCAACGGCAATATATTCTTTCTGACCGCATTGACAAAACATTTGGCTGGGGTGGCCTTTTCACAGTGGATGATGCTTTTATTTTCGCTATTCCAATCGGTTTGAGCTAGAGGGTGCTGATGGTAGTCCATCCATAGTATTTCTCTGTCGACTTTGTGTTAACCCGCTGGTCGTTTTTGTAGAAGAGTTCTCCTCTGGTTTGTGATGTGGAGGCTTCGAATCTTAGTTTTTTTTCTCAGGGGACTGCAGGGTCGGTATCGTGTTTGTCATATATAGTCAGTAATATCAACGGAGGGATTCAGTGTTTGTCTATGACTGATCGATTCTGGTCGTTCGCCATATTGCTTTCGCTATCCGTGGTCGATTCGTTTACTTTTGTAGCAGGATTCTGAGTGGAAGTGCCCTCTATTTTAACTTCTCGTATATCGCTAGTTGTTTGCGTAACTCTCTATCGTGTGTTGTTGGATTCCAGCCTCCAGATCCTTCAAGGGGGTAAAGAGGCTCGCATCTTCTTCCGATACAGTCTCTAGTGAAATGTCCATTGGTCGAGGGGTTGCCTGGTCATCGTTTGACTTCAAAACAATTACCTCGGATCTTTCGACTGGCCGTCTCAATTTCGGAGCTTTCAAAGCCGACATTTCTTACAGGTTTTTTTTTATCACCTTGGGTCCCTTATTCACTAAATTTAATAGTTTCTATTCCTTTTTTACCTTCTTTTCTAACTTCGGCTAGTTTTTGTTTGGCTAAACCAGACTTTTTATGTAGATACTAGTTTTAGTGAGACTGTGTGATCTGTCTCTCTTACGATTCTTTCATTTGCTTTTTGTAAAGTGCAGTCTTTTTCTTATCGTGTACTTTCCTGAATATGATGGGCTTACCCGAGGGTGCAAAACCTAAGGCCTTTTCAATCCTTGTAGGGACGGGATCAGCTACACTTAAGGCCTTTCAATTCTCTGTTCTTGACATAACCTTTACAGGAGACCCAGAACAAGCGGGCATAAAGTTTGTGGATCGGTCTTCTGAGGTTGATGAACTGTAGTTGTCCAAATGGCTGGCCTTGATATAGTCAAGGCGTCCCAAACGTGTCTCTTTTCTCTGTACATCAATTTTCTTTCTTTGTCCGGGCATAACAAAACTTTATTCCAAATTAAATGGTCTGACGAAAGACTTTTGACCATTTTATGCCACATAGTGTTCGTTTTTTTCCAAAATGTACTTTGAAAGGCGAGTAATTTAGCGATTGTTGATTTTTAGCTCATAAACAATTGTGGTTTTTTACTAGAGCCATAACCATTAATACATTTCTGATTGTCCTGCCAATTGTTCAACTACACCTGACTCCCAGCGATTGTTCACTGAGCAAAATAATAAAGTCATATTTTGGTCCTGAAAAAGTTTGCATACTTCCTCCGAAATTTCGAAATAGATCCCGAACCTTGGTCGATTCTAAATGATCAAGGGATTCTGTGTAAACCAATATAGTTCAGGAGGAAATTTTCTACTAGCCAAACAGCTATATGTTTTGTGAGCTGAAGTTTTTTTTGCCTGTTACTTTCGAAACCCAAAGTGACCTGGGTGCGTTTCATGAAGACATTAGATCAATTCGGCTCTCCGGCATGTGTGTATGACCTGACTTACTTCGAAGTAAGACATTATCCTGTGACATAGAGGTTTAAGAGGTATGGTTTGTAGTAGATCTCGAGCTATTGTTGTATCCTCGTTCCCTCGTTCTTCGATAGCCCTTAAGAATTTCTTGAGCACTAGATCTTAATATGCGGCGAGTAAAGACATCATTATAGAAACAGAACTTTCTGGTCAATATGAGTTATGACCTCTGGCCTGTACTCATAGAGCAATTTCAGATAAGGTACACCGTCTGTTCGTCTTGAGTAATTTCAGATAAGGTACACCCGTCTGTTCGTCACGCTATCTTATTTTCGGCCGGATAGAATCGTGCAACTTCTTAGTCTAATACCAATCTTAATCTTACTCTTATATATCCTAGTCTCAATAGATCTAGTGCATGCTGATTTTTGCGGGTTAGTTCCTGGAGTTTATCCAGAAGGATAATAACTGTATTCAAAGATTTATTCAAATTGTTCTGGTGCTGAAACTACAAGTAGTTTCAGCACATACAAATAAGTGTCAATGTTAGAGATGGAATATGATTCGCTAGTTAGTAATATTTCATAGTGGTATTTTATCAATAAAATAATTGGTTTTATAAATTCTAGTAGAACTGGTTCCAAATAGAATGGAAATGTCTTAGTTTATCGCCTCCTTGACGTTTATTTCGAATCCGGCCCATTCTAGCTTATTTGTCAAAAACTGGCACTTTCCCGTTTTATTATAAAACTTTGGTCATTTTAAATTTTAGAATGTCATTAACTATTTTATAATTGTTCCGACTTTTGTAACGAATGTAACGGAATATTTGTGCTCGGGTGGTTTTTTTTTCTTCAGACAAACTTCGACTTTTTAACTGGCAATTTTTGACGGAGTTTTATACATCATTCGAAATTTGTTGTTGTCCTGAGCTTGAATTTGAAAAGATATTTCACCTGTGATCATTTTTCGTAAAGTTATGAGGGTTTAAAGATTGCCATTTTGGCCAAATGGGACAATTAACACGCGATATATTTCGCGCTACTAACGCGTAAGCGGATATTTATTCCGTATTAGAAATCGTTCCAAATTGGTTAAAAGAAGCTTATTTGCCATATTTGGTTTGTTACAAGGAGCAAAATCTATCCTTTTGTACTTTATATGGCGTGTGGGGTGATGATTTTCATTAAAAAATTTCAGGTTTTAGAAAAAAAAATTTATTTTGTTTTTTTTTTCATTGAATTTTTTAATGTTATTACTGCTCCATAAACCTTAAAAGGCAGTTGGAACATTCAGGGCTTCGCCCTGATACGAGCAGTCTTGTTTCAATACGTATTCAAAATTTTCTGCTGTTCAGAATTTAGTTTTTGGCTTTTAATTTTCTAATACGTTTGAAGATTCTGGCGGTTCGTCCCGGTCCAAATTCTTTTTTGTTGTTGTTGTTTTTTTGCATAGAAAGTTGGTGTTTTTTCTCAGATATTGCATGTGACTATTGGTGAAATGTAATTTCACACTTTCTTTCTGATTTACATCCATTTTGTTTTGTTTTTGATCTTTTGTTTTTTTTTGATTTTTTAAAAGCGGAACTTCAAAACTGTTTGCATAGAAAGTAGGCTCGTAAAAAATCGGTGAAACACCACCCCAAATGTCTGCAAATTCTGCAAATTTCCCAGATCTGCTCTTGAACAAGAAGTAGTAAGTTACCCGGTGCAGTCCATCAAAATAAAAGACGTTCCAACATTTTATGAACTACAATCCGCTTACATTCAACCCGTGTGCTATAATTGATATAACTCGCGTAAGTGGTGTTTCCCTCTAATAAGTTTTTCGTTCTAACTTTCGGACAAAGCAATAGCTTGTTCATGCACGGTCCGGTCATGTTTTTATCTCAGACAAATTTGGAGTTCCGATCATTCACATTATTTGATTTTTTTAGTTACGGGGAAAATTTTGTTAAACATTTTTTGATGCACGTAATAGGGCAGTCGGAGGATTCAGTGCCACGCCCTGATACAAACAGTCTTGATTAAAAAAGCGCAAAATAATACATTATGATTAAAGGTGTTCGATTATCTCATAAATTTTTTCAACCAAAAATTTTTTTATTGATGAAGCGTTAAAATCATTCAGGGGTTCGCCCTGATACAAAAAATCTATTTCTACTTTAGTATGGACGATACTATAAGCTTCCTGAATCCTTTATCAATTCAAGCTGGTCGCCTGACTCTTTTTGTATCTGTATCGGAATCTCTTCTGGTTTTTTATCCGTTTTCTTTTTTTGCGATTGTTTTGTACTGGTTTTATGGGACTGGACACGTATCAACCCCTTCCTCCTTAATTTTGATGTTTAATTTTTTCCTAAAGCTGTCCACTTTTTGACCACCAAAAGCTGTCCAGTTATACGACCTATGTTTTCAACCCTACCTTTTTTACATAAAAGCAGCTCAGGTGTCGTTAGCTACAGTGGCGGAAAATCGAAAATCAAAAAGATTTTTAAAGAAAGTACTGGAACATAACGGTAGTGGTGCTAGTTCTTCAAAAATATTCAGCGATCGAAAAATGTATTTCTAGGGAACTTTCGAAAAATACATTGAGCGTTTGCCCGATACCAAAAAATCGCACCAGAACGCACAAGAACTACTTAGTTTCTTCGATATAGTAGCAAAACTCGTTATGACAGAATGTTTTTTTTGTTAACCAATACAAAACATCTTTCACTTCAATCTTCAAGCATTTTCTTGTTCGGTATTTTCAGTTTTAAATAAATAATTATTGGAAATTACATGCCAAAATCAATCTTTAAATTGGCGTTCTATCTAAAAAAGCTGTTATTGGGACTTTTTTGCCAAGACTTAGATCTAGTATCACTTAAGTGCTTTTAGAGTTCAGTTGCAATAATTTTGTTTGTTTTCGGAATCTGCTTACAATTTTACGTTAAAATGGCTAAGCTTTCGGATCTAGGTAAGTTTTTTCTTTTTTTTATTGAAGGAAAACATCTTTCAAGCGAATAAAAGTTTTAGTAGATTTCGGTACAATTTTGAATAAAATGGGACAATAGTTATTGTCGAGCGAATAAAAGTCTTAGTATATTTCGGTACAATTTTGAATAAAAGGGGACAATAGTTATTTGATATCATTAACTAAAATTCTTTTCCAACCTTCTTCGAGCTAACGACGACGTGACTTTAGAAAAAAAATGTTAGATCTAACTTGGAACTAATTCTGAACTTTCGTTTATAACACCTGTCTAAACCTAATTAAACATGATAATTATCAAGAGTTTCGTTGCAATGTGTTGATTTCTTGTTTTTTAGCTTTATTATCTAGTTTTGCTCTTCCTTTTCTAATTTTCTGATTTTTTTTTCAATTCTTTATCCATTTTGTTTTCGATAGGAAAAGAGACAGTGACCGTGTACTGTGAGGTGATGGGGGACAAGACCCACCCGGAGTACCTGAAGGAGGGTGGTGCCTTCTTCACCTCCTTCGTGGGGGAGTATCTAGCCCACATCAACGACAAGGAGATGGGGGAGTATGCCGATGGTACGAAGATTGCAAAATTGCGTTCTCGCAAAAAACTCCCTATTTGGAAATTGTGCTTAAAATAGGGGGGCGAAAATTTATGCTTAATAAACATTTTTAACAAACTGTGATCAATTGTGAAAAAATATTATAATTGAAAAAGTGTGCTCAAAAACTATGTCTCCGAAAAATTTTTTTGAAGTTTATAGTCAGTTGATTTTTAAGTTATGCTTGAAAATAACAAAAAAATCAACTATTAAACCATCGCAAGCAGGCGCGGATCTAGAAATTTCTCGAGGGGGGGGGGGTTGATCTTTTGTTGATCATTTTTTTTAGGTCGACCAAATTGATTTTGTGAGCTCACCGAAACCACTATAAAGACCCAAATTTGACCAAGTTTTCTGCGCCGGAGACAAATTTTTGAAAAAAGGCCAAAAAAAGCGTTTTTAGGCACTTTTTGGAAAATGCTGACCAAAAAATCGCGTTTTTTCGGCGCGCACTCCGCCCTCCTCGCCTTTAGAAAAATTTTAAGGTCGGTCGGTCAAAAATGGATATCTCAAAATAGTACAAAGGGGGACCCTTTGGGTCGGCTGGGGGTCGAACGAATCCCTGAAAAAAAAAGCGTCATCCCACCCACCCCCCCCCCTAAATCCGCTACTGATCGCAAGTTTTGGTCGGCGAAGATGTTGAATTTCTGTGAAGACTTGACCATGTATTTTCAACAGGGTGTATGGATGTGGAGGAAGAGGATGTTGAGACAGTTAAGAGTCTGTTGGGGTCGGCAAAGTTCAGACAGGCACTCGCCAAGTTCTGGTACGAACAAATACTACATGTCAAGTTTTTGTTTTAAATAACTGCTATTAATTAGTTATATGAAAAAAAATCATAGTACACAAATTCTTTAATAAGATTACTCAATAGTAACTCTGGAATCAAAAAGCAAAAATTGCAATAACGTATTACTAATCATAACAAAAATATATATTGCGCAGCTGCTTCATTCGTATTGTACAGATAAAAAATGTTCAATTGGTGGCTATAAGAAATTTTTAGAATCGCTTTGATTTTTCTTACAGAAATTAGTTTTGCCTTTAGCCGCATAGACGCAGATGGTAGTGGACAAATATCAGAAGAAGAAGTCAAGTAAGTGCAGTCTATTTAGTGTGAAAACTTCTTCTTAAATCATCAAAATTTTAATTTTGAAAATGGTTTGGGAGGCTGAATCAAAAAGCATGATTGTGTAAAATCATCTCTGAAATCGAAGTAACATCAAAAAACAGCTCAAGTGGAAGCTGGATTTTATTTTGGGTCAAAGGGTTGAACTTATCAGACAATCAGGCAGCGCTGGGCAACATTAAGATTAGACTTTGTGAAAGATGTTGCATTGGTCTAGTTATAAGGGGGAAGATGTGTTAACTTGGTTCCCATTCTGAATAGAAGTTGTTCATGATTTTTCTGCTCAATTTGTAATTGATTGTTCATTATTTTTTTGTAGACAGGAGTTTGGAGAGGGGAGTGGCAAGTTCCTGAAGAGAGTACAGGACTCTGATGGCGACAACATGATATCCATGGCAGAGTACATGCTAATGCTCAAGTAGGCGAAAGACCACCCCACGCTCTAACTGCCCAAGAACGTGTTCACAGAAAAGAACTGAAACATAACAAAAGAAATTATTTAAAAATTCGTAGATACAATTTCATACACATGTAAAAGCACTGGATTATTACAGCTTACTAATTAGACTTATTCTTGTTTTTTGACGTGTTGAATTACATATAGGCAAGACTAACCATTGCTATTGTATTTATTCCTCTATCTCAATTTAAAATTTTTAATGTCTCCAAGTTTCCGATGCGGCTCCTGAGTCAGTTGTCCTAAAAACCATCCATTCAGTCAGCATTTGGGTTCCACGAAGATGTTTTTTTAAAAATCCTTTGTGTGCAAAACCTCACTCAAACTGCCTTTACACAAGGGGTTGAAAAAGATATTAAAGAAGCGTTGGCTCACGGATCCCATTTTTCTATACATTTTTGGAATACCTAAGGCTTTTTTGGGCTATTTGGAATTAAATCGACTCTTCTTTTGAAAATAGCAAAACTTTAGATAAAAAGTTTACAATTTCAGAACATGTTTGCCAACTTGGATTCCGATTTTCGAATAATGTGACAGAACATTTATGTTGGGCGTTTTAAAAAATTTTTCTACAAGTTTTGAATTTTTGATTACCCGGTTTGGACAACTTTTCTCATAGTCTCTGAAAGATAGGATACCTTAAGCTAACAGATTTTTTAGAATCGCGGGGGTTTGAAAATTGCCAACTGACCAATTTAGGACAAAAAATGACCGCCAAACTAACCCTAGCTAACGCGTAATTAAAACACGTTAACTAGATACGAACATTTTTTATTTAACTGTTTCGAGTTTCGAAGAGAGTAACGAATAATTTAAGCTCGTGGTGATTAATTTTCCCCCGGACAATTTTTTTTTCAATTTTTAACGAGCACTTTGTAACGGAACTAATTTTTACCATTCGAAAAGTAGTTTTATTCTGAGTTCACTTTAAAAAACGCTTTTACCTGTGTTTTTTTGTAACTTCATGGGGGGTTCAGATGTTGTCAATTTGGCCAATATGGGATAATTCATGGACGATTTATTTTGTGCTATTAACACGTAAGCTGAGATTTACCATACCTCAGAAATCATTCCAAGCTGAGCTATTTCATCTATTTAAAACTTTGCTGTATGCTTATTTATCACTTTTTTATTTAGATAGCTAGTGAGGTGATGGTTTTTAAAAAACAAATCTAAATAAGCACTAAATTTTCAAAACATATTTTTTTGAAAATTGCATCAATTTTTGAAGCGTTGATGCGCCAAGCGAGAGTTCGTAACAGGCGACAATTCGTAAAACGCGACAATTCGTAACAAGCAACTTATGGTAGCCGTAGCTTAAGCTGGGAACACTTCATTTACGCGCAGTATTCCTTTCGTGCCGGATGCAAGCGCAGCGGAGCAAGCGTATTCTACTAGCCAATGCCTTGTTAAGAATTATCGCTGGTTATGAATTGTTACCAGTTACGAATTGTCGCCGTACTGCACTAATGTTCTTATGTTCCGACTACTTTTGAAGAAAACGACTGAAAGTTTGTGTTTGAGTGGTTTTTTTTACAGATTGGCCACTGTGGGATAATTCACAGACGGTATTTTGCGCTATTAACGCGTAAACTGAGATTTAGTAAGCATCAAAAATCATTCAAGTTGCACCATTTTATCAATTTAAAACTTAACTGTATGCTAATTTTATCGTTCTGTTATTTACAAAAATTGTGAGGGGATGGTTTTTACAAAAAGAAATCAGAAAAAAAATTGTAAATTTTCCTAATATTTTTCTGAAAATTGCACCATGATGAAAATTGCACCATGAGCAATTACTAGTTCCTATACCCTAAACAGCATTCGTAAAATTTAAGGCTTCCTGCTGATATAAGCATTTTTGTAATTTTTATAGCTTACATTAAGCGCTGCGGAATTTTTAAAAAAGAGATGAAACTGATCATAACAGGGCGATGCCATGAACGTTTTGAGTGCCCTTCAGCGTCTATGGAGCAATGTTCGATTTAAAATACAATAGAGTTTTCAGAGACAAGATGAAGCATAAAATAGCTATACATTAAGGTATGCAATCAGCATACATTTAGGTACTTAATTAGTCAATTAGCATATCTATAGGCAATGTGGAACAAGTTCTGTGGCGGATTAAATGTTTACTCATTTGCTTTAATAGCACGAAGTATATCGCACGCGGTAATTATCCCATTTGGACCAAAAAAGCAACCTCCACACTCTCCTCGTTTTTTGAAGAGTAATTTAAGCAAAACACTAATCAAAAAAATTTTTAAAGATTTTTTATACTTTCTTAAAAGCAAACGATACTAAATAGAGTTAAAATAGCAATCACAAAATTCGAGGCTTAGCCATGATACGGGCGGTCATGTTAGAGTGTGTGAATGCGGAATATTTGAAAAATATCATTTCGAAATGACCATCGAAGCGCTGATGCATGAGGCGAAAATTTGGAACATTTGACAATTCATAATATGCGACAGTTCGTAACAAGCGACATTTCATTACAGCAGAGTGAGCGGAGAACACTTATTTACGCGCAGTATTCATTTCGTGCCGGATGCAAGCGCAGCGGAGCAAGCGTATTCTACTAGCCAATGTCTTGTTACGAAATGTCGCTGGTTAAGAATCGTCGCCGCCTGCTACAAATTGTCGTCCTACCGCGCTTATGTTCCATTGTTCCGACTACTTTCGAAAAAACCGACTGAATATTTGTGTTCGAGGGCTTTTTTTTACAAACTGTGGCTTTTCAACTAACCGTTTCTCAAATTTTTTTATTAGCCGAAAATTATGGTTATCTTGAGCTCCAATTTAAAAAGATATTTTACCTGTGCTTATTTTGAGTTATGGGGTTTTAAGATTACCGATTCGGCGGATTTGGGATATTTACCTAATACGCACAGATTTAATCCGTCTTAGAAATCATTGCAAATTGAGTTGAGGCATGCTGTCTGGTCTATTTGATACTTTGCTTATGTGAACTTTATCATTTGGTACTTTACGTAGCGTAGCGTGTAGGAGATCTAAATATATTTAAAAAAAATTTTTGGTTTTGAAAGTTTTATCAATATTTTTAAGCAAACACTCAAAGGAACTTTCAAGGCTTCGTCCAGATACGAACATTCTTGTTTAAAATTGAGCGCAAGACATTAATAGCTTCCAGTTAATAAAAGCGAATTTTGTCAAAAACGACTGGTTAAAAAGTCGAAGTTTGTAAACGTACTGAAATATTCCATCAGTGTCATTAAAAATGGAACAAAAAACTTTGTATAGAAATAAACCATGTTCCGTACTAATTTATCTCTGTAAAAAAATCCAAACTTTTAAGAAGGGCGCGTCGATCAAGAACTTGATATTTAAAAAGTACATACCAAAGTTAAGCTAATAAAAAAAATGGTGAATTCCTTTTTGCTGCATATCGTGGTATGGTTGCCTTAGATAGATTTAAGCATACCGAGAATTTAATTTTTATCTACCACTCGAGTTATTAATCCTTTCAAAGAAAACGGAGTATCTTGTATCTACTACTCGAGTTTTGAGGTAACTGTTTGCTTGAAATTAAACACTCCCAAATCAACTTTTATCTTCCTTTCAGTTTCGGAACAGTAAAATGGTTGTACCGCTGATGTTATCGACACTTCAATTTCAATGACTTTTTTTGTATCGCGTAGCAGATAATTTTTTTCAGTTGTTTTTTGCTCCGAATTTCGCAGAAAGTCTCAAAATAACTGAACTCAGTGTTATAGCTTCTCACAATAATTTTTGACTTTTAACCCAATAATGTTGAACAAACTGTTCTGTTTTCTGCTTTTGATTAGATTTTTTTTGAAATTTTATCAAATACGACAGACAAAACGGCAGAAATGTGAAAGACTTATGTTCATTTCATCATTTTAAGACAAGGAGTTATGCATCGTCTCTGTTTCTGACTGTACCAAATCTCCGAAAAATAAATCAGCAACAAATAGAATCGACACAGTTTTCGTATTCAGTTGAAATCACGCCCCTCACAAAAATCTTTGAATTTACTAAAAATCTCACAACAACATACATCAAAACGTTACGGATTGCATTTGAAATACTGTATTGTACAAATATTGTGGATTGCTACTAAAATTTAGTCAAACAAAGTACGTGTTCATTTTGCTCGCTAAAAATTATCTTTTTTCGTTTTTCCTGGTCAACTGAAGTTGCGGATTGTCTAGATAAGCATAATGCGCCAGCGCCGGTTTCCTGGTTTCATATTCAAGTTGAACTTTCTTGTAGTTCCAAGATAGAATACAGTCCCATGCCCTAGGTTCGAATCTCCACGGGAACTTATTGATGAACATTTGTTTGCCGTAGGATTTGTTGATCAGTTCTGGAAGAGTCTTGACTCCAATCATGCAAATGTGTCGCTGCTTTTTGCCGCTCAAGCAAGTGAAATTTTTCTGGAAGAACCACATTTTGTAACGGTTGAAGTATCCTACAGGAGAGATGAAACATTACATTATGGTTTACAAGAAACTTCTTTGTTTCAAACCAAACACTAGCGTTTCTTATTGAAACATTCAGATATACACTCGAAATGTCACAACAGCTAGCTTACAGCAAATCATGGCAAATAAGATAATTTTTCAACTGCCATTTTTACAACATCAATTGGATTCAAGTTAGGATATCACAAAATGAAATTCAAGTCGAAATAGTGACCTCCATTTATTAAGACAGGCTATAGAGTATCCCATGTATTAAGATAGGTTATAGGTTTCGCCATTATTAAAAAATATTCGGGCACCGAAAATTTCACCATATGAAACTTATCATCTCGTATCTTTACACATGGGAAGACATATTATACCTATCTTAATATATGGGAAACTCTATTCCCTATTTTAATACGTAGCTTGGAGACCGGAAATATATAGCCTATCTTAATACATGTCTCCACAAGCACCCCACCCTCTCACTCGCCACAGCTCTCCTTACACATACACTATGAGACAACATTGTTTGCTTGGGGCTTCTCTTCATGATAATGTTTCGGATCCGTAAAAAGAATCTAGCCAGCTTATTTCGCTTTGTCTGTTCGTGGCACATGCATTTAATCACAATATTAGTAGTGCACTCACCGTGCGACTCGTGTTCATAAGGTATGAAAGGCAACGACTCCTCCGACCACCTCTCTTTCAAAGCACCAGGCATGTTCAAGTGATGATTGAACTGCAGCAGTGCGAAGAAGGACTCCTCGGGGTATTTGAAGTCCATGACCAGCGACAGAAATGTCTCCGTTATGTTTGGATTGTCATGTATGAACTGTGTAGCTTCTCGCGAGAAGACGAAATGTGTCTGGCTTTTGAACTTCTGCAGTCCAAACGGAAGTCGTTCCGTCGGGTAGCGAAGATGGTCGTCAAAGTGTAGGGGGCCTGAGAAAATTGGTAAAATACCGTTTATGACAATTGTTGTTTTCTGGTTCCGTTCTTGTTGGAAGCCCGTTAGAATCAGGGAAAGAAATTAAGGCTTCTGCGAGATCGAATTCTGAGAAAATTCAAAAAACTTTGACAATCTCTGTTTTAGCTCAAGTAAGAACTTAGGTCATGTTCCGAGATCTCTCGAATCACTATGGGTGCTGTGCTAGTGAACTGTTAATTCCCAGAGGGGTGGCATAGTCCATCTCTCTAATTTCCCCGCTTTTCTTGAATAACAAATCTCTGGAAACCAATTATTTATAAACCAATTATATTATTGATAAATTATCACTATAAAATATTACTAACTAACCAATCATATTCCATCTCTAACATTGACACTTATTTGTATGTGCTGAAACTACTTGTAGTTTCAGCACCAGAACAATTTGAATAAATCTTAGACTACAGTTGTTCTCCTTCTGGATAAACTCCAAGAACTAACTCGCATAAACCAGTATACACTAGATCTATTGAGACTAGGAGATATAAGAGTAAGATTAAGATTGGCATTAGACTAAGAAGTTGCACGAATTTATCCGGCCGAAAATAAGATAGCGTGACGAGCAGACGGTGTACCCTATCCGAAATTACTCTATGAGTATAACCAATAGGTCACAACTCATATCTACCTTGCTATCTTTTGAACTCATGTTATACTGTTTTGTTACAAATATTGAACATAACTTCGGAAAAATTTGAATAAAAGATATGTTTTCAATTGCTTTTCAAGTTCATTAGGAATGAAACAAAAAATTGTACTGTTATTATAGATATGATGGAGCTGAATCAAGCCGCCAGTTTCTCGACAAAAGAATTGTTATCGAACAAAAAAGGAGGTAACTTCAAACTGCTCACCGTCAATAACATTAGAGCCCTTCATCTTGTGAAGCACTGTGACTATCTCCAGGTTAGTCAAGAGGGGCAACTCCTCCCCTGTTAAATTGATGAGATACTTCCACTTGTCAGAGAAGGCGAGCAACTCCATCATGCAGTTCAACTCCGCCCTTGTCTGCGTCACTCTGGCATAGTGCACATCTATGACCCGTTTGGGAATGATGATGTTATCAGGAAAACATCTGGCTAGTCTGGATACCTACAACCGGCTCAGTTTGCGTTACTTATCATATGATGTTTTTCTTAGCGATCAAACCCTGAAAAATTGTTTTAAGATATTTTGTAACTCATGATGGTACGTTGAATAACAAATATTTTAATTGAAAAATATGATTTTCTACTTAATATGCCAACATTTGGTTGATTGGTTTGATGGTTCGTATCTCTTTATCTATATCCTCCCTCAGGTACCTAGTGAAGAATATCCCCCTATGAAGAAAAAAATCAACGGTTAAGCCTATGAGAATTTTGTACCTAGTAACGAATCTCCCCCTTTTGCAAAATGAGGGGATATAGTTAAAGTGATCCGTTGGTTCATATCAACGAGTTGCAAGTTCGCTCTTTCAAAATCATTTTCAAAACTAGCTTAATAAAATATTTTTGTGACTCACCAATTCTTTGAATGGTTTAGCAGTTGAATTGTCGACATTGATGCAATAAACATTTTGCCGCCTGAAAATGGACATCAGAATTTGTTCCACTTGGTCGAACTCATGATAAACTAACAAGGTATACGCTATGGGAAAACTATCCTCAAACTTATTGACAGGTTCTGTATTGTACAGATGGATTCTTCTGCTGAAAAAATTCTCGCATTTTTGAAAACCTCGCCTTAAACTCCCCAAAACGTGAGTTTGAACTCCAATCGAAGCATTAACCTCAGCCTGTGAGGCTTTTTGAGACCAAATATTTTCGCATGTACCGTAAATGGATTCAAGTTCGTTTCTTGAATATTTTTGAGTGTAAAATATAGACTGATGAGTTTGTATGTACTGCAAATATAAAGGATCAACCGATCGGAAGTTTCCGTGGTAATCTGTTTGATGTTTTGCGCGATTTTCTGTAGGTTTCGATTTATAATTCTTTGTAATAAAAACAAAAAGAAAGAAAACAGAAATTGAAGTAATAATTATCTTCGAAAATCGACTTTTTGTTAGCCTCATTTTAATGATTATTGCGTTAAAATCTTATCAAAATCATCCTGTATAATTAGAATGTGATGCAGAATATGACAACTTATCACACGATAGAAAAACGTGATATACAATTCGTTTAACCAAAAAAAGAACACAAATCTCATTTTCTTGCTAAAAGTTAAAAGTTAAACTCGTCAGTTTATTTTCATTATACACTTTATCAAGCGAATAATACAGAAAACAAAATGTAAAATAGACTAGCTGTCTGAAAAACAAAAATACTTGACGTAGTTTTTGCGATATTTTTTGTGACGACGAATTTTTGCGACAAAGAGGCTCTTTTTTCAAGATGTTCAAAATCCGCCCGTCAAAAAAGTTATTGCTGAACGCAAGAAGTGTTAAAATAAATCTAAATCGAATTATACTTTCGAGCAAACCAGCGTGTTAAGAGAAAGTTTAATTGGTTTCCGAACTGAGAAAATTGGCGGTATTTGAGCGAAAGTAAAACAGAACTGATACGGGGATTTAAGTTAAGCACTAGCTATGTCTAAACATACGTCGCAGGTTGGAAAAGCAAAATTTTCAGTGGAACGAGCTAGAAATTAATATTGCAGGGGTATTGTGTATCCGGCTTGACCACAAAAAGGCTAAGTTTCTTCGCGATTCCATGAGTACACAAAATCGCACGAAAGGTCGATTAGCACTTTACATGAGCAGATGATATGACTAGGATTTTTCAATAAAACCAAAAAACTAAGTATGATACTTTTCTTAGTTCTCATCTATATTTGGGTGAGTTCGAAACCAAACACAACTGACAAATACGTAGCGTCTTTAAAACCCTTGAATCATTGAGGGATTGAAAATCTTGCGCAATACGTACAATGGGAACAGTTTAAAATGGGATATTTTGTACAGTAAACCTAATGGAAACAACACTGCTCTTATCAGGACGAGGCCTTGAATGTTCCGACTGCCTTTTAAGGTCTATGGAGTATTAAAAAACAAATGTAATAAAATAAAACGAAAAATAAAATTCTAAAACTTAGATTTTTGTGAAAATCATCACCCCACACGCCATACAAAGTATAGTGTGATAGATTTTGCTCCTAGTAACCAATCAATTATGGCAAATAAGTAGTAGGTAATATAACAAGCTGAACCCCGGGGAGGGGGTGAGCAGGGTGCGGAGGAAAAAAGCAGGAGCGAAACGTGTAGATTGTTTCAGAACGTTCCAAATAGACATAAATTGTTTTAGATTGTTCCAGAACTTTCATACACTTTACCTGTAAAAATAGCAACAACGTTTAATGTCATTTAAATTACTTGGTATCTCTGAACTATCAAGTTCCTTGTAGCGTTTAAACTTCAAACTTTTACCTGTGGTTGATTGATAGCTTTAACGAGGTGAAAAAAATGCATCAAGTCTTTTCAGCATTGTTTCACAAATACACAATGGCTGGCTTAACAGTCTGAGATTTTCATATAAACAACCTTGGGCAAAATCAGACAAGTGAAAATTCCTTATATACCATCAACTTAGAATGCACAAAGTACATGTAATTTAAAAAGCATAGCTTGAGACTTGAGTCCGATACAAAACACTCGATCTTGACTATTTTGCAACAAATTTTCTAACATTTATTGCCAATATATAACACAATTAAAATCCCATTTTTTCCCTATGTTTTTATATTTTTCCCGTAAAATCTTCAAACTAATTTTCATAAATGGAATCCAAATGCTAAAACTGTTTTAACGGAATGATTTAATTTGAACTACCTGATTTTCTGTTGATGGAAAAATCCAATTATTGCTCTATTAAAATCTGACAAGGTACTATCTTTCTCGGTATTATTTCTTGACCAAACCAAAAAATTCCCGAAAAGATTTTTTTTAAAACTGAGTTTTTATTTCATAGATATACACTTATTTTCGTTTAAAAAAAATTGATGAAAGTGAAGTGTGAAAAGGAAACGCAGATAATAAAAAGTGCGACAATCATCTCAAGCTCACAAAACCTAAATTTTTATCTGCCTGATTGTTAGTTTTTTCGATCATAAATCATATCAACATGATTGGAGAATAAGGGTGAAACTACATTCAGATGTAAGTACTTGCTCACAGTACTTTTGTTTTTTGCTTGAAATTTTCCTAAATTTTTCAAATCGTGTTAAAATTGCCTAACTATTGTTGAAATTAGATAATACAGCAAAAACTTTTGACAGGAACTTATTTTTTTTTCGAATTTTTTTTTCAAATTTTTCTGAAAATGTCCCAAATAAAAATGAACGTTGAATGGATCGTTTCTGTTTAGTAATTATGACTCAAGACAAAACAGGGAGACAAAAATGAACATCAGTTTGCTCTGTTATTTCAAAATAGTTATTGTATCAAAGAACCTTTTTATCCTAGTGACTAAAAAAAAGTGATTGCAACAAACAAAGCTATAGAAACAGAATTTTTTTGAATTGAGCAAACTTTCACAACAAAGTTTAAAGAGACATCAGGAAAAAGAGAAATTCTTATTAACAAAAAAAGTAGGTCTATTATCTGGGGAGCGATGTTTTTTCTCGGACAAACATGAACTCTTTTATCCAGGCTTTTTTAAATTCAATTATTGTGGAATGTTGTTTTGTTGGTGATACAAAATCAGTTTTAGACGATCTTTCGCAAATATTCAGCGTATCAAAAACAATGCTTCCAGCTCAACAGTAACTATTGACAAGGGAACCCCAGTACAGAGAATTAATATGGAATAATTTCACAGTTTTCAAATTGAAATTTGTGATAAACAAGGGGCAGTCCTATCGTTATCAAGTGTTGAAACCATAAAACTAACTCTATATTTTTGCATAGCCTCAGACTGATTTGTAAAAAACATTCTTTAATTCTTTTTTTCGTAAAATTCTAATCAGTTTGAGAATCAAATGATACGATATTTTACAGAATAAGTTTATCACACGCAAAGTCATTTTCAAAAAATAAATCTTTCAAAAAGTCTTGTCAAAAAAATTCCAAGCAAAATAAATTTAAAAAATTCCACAAGATTTTGAAAATTGCTGAGTCGCATGGTTGTTCATAGTTTCTGAATGAGCAGCTGACAAACGTGATTGAACATTTGAATACATCCAAATTTGTTTTGTATGCTATGCTTTCGTGCAACCATTAACCAATGTTTTCCTTGTGTATGTTTAGAATTGTTAATTGTTTGAAATCTGTTGTCTTGTAGCATTGGAATTGGAACTCATTGCAAAAAAAGAACCATTATATTTGAGTTTTCATGACGAACCCTGTCTATGATTTTTCAGAAAAAAAAATCTTTATCTCAAAATTTGCCGTTTTGATCAATTGAGACTCTTGACAGTCGCTCTCTTACAACCAACACTTCAATAAGTTCTACTGTCTCTCGAGAAAACTCAGGTTCAAGTCTTAAAGGTGAACCAACTGCTTCGGGAAACTCCAAATTTCGAAGACTGCAAATCGACGTTAAATTATGTTTCAAAAAAGGAAGTGGTTTCGTTTTCCATTGAACGCTGAAGATAGTATTGGGGCACATGGCAACTACCGGCTAACATATAGGTTCCGAATTGAAAACATTTTCCTGAGAAACTGATTCTGACCCGCAGGTATTACAAATTTATTGCTTTTCACTTGGTTATAGTTGTATCTAGCAGGCTACTTCTTTAGTTCATCTTGAATTGAAGTATGAACAGACTAGGACACCGTATAATATCTCGCAAAAACTTACGCGCGTCTCATTTGATCCGAAGATTTTGCATTAGCAACTTCAGTCACCAGTACAATTTTTGGTTTCGAACGAGTGGTTTGTATTTTTTAGCTTACTAATAGGGAACAATAACTGATCCGTAGCAAAAAAAAGTCAACAAATAACTTTCCATAGAAAACACGGACTTGAGATCTTTTTGTCTATTGTAGATGTTTATCATGGTTACTTTTTCACTATCAAACGACGAAGGATCCATTTCCTAAGATAAACGTTGAGTAGCAATTTTAGTTTTACACAGCCCACGGTTTGAGACAGCTCCGTTTCAAGAAAAGCCCATTCGAGCGTATAAATTGTTAGCAGTGTGGACGACTTCATGGCTACATATGACATCGCAGTTTGAAAACTTCGAGTGTAAAGTAGTTTTACAGAATGCAATTTTTGAAGGATCTGTAACAATTCTTGTAATTGTATCAACTGCCAAATTACTGCCGTCAATTTTTTTGAAGTTTTAGTTTTTAACTCCAAACTCTGCCAATCTAAATAAATGTTGGGATCGGTATCCAACAAAAATTCTTCTATCGGAAGTGATGGGAAGAGTCTCTTGTTAATATGAACTTTCAAATGTCTTCAGAACTTTGGGTTGGTGAAGATGAATTCGAATGGTGTGCTGCCTTGTGAATTTCTAGAATTAGTAGCGAAGCTTCGTGAAAATATCAGTTATTTTGTTTTGTAGATTCGTATTTCCTTGCTTTAGATGACAGACTGTTTCGAGATGCTGGATTTTTAGGATTGGTATGTTCTCTTTTTTCCTTCAGGAGCTCATCTATCTACTTTTTTTCGCGGTTGATGTAGCTGTTCCTTTGACTGCGCTTTTCACACTCGGGTTTCCTTTTACTGTGTCCATAACTTCAGGAAACATGTTTGCGGCAAATTCTTTACCTTTTCGATTGGCAGACGGCATAACGTATTTGGAGACAAATGGAATTGCATATCGAGCTGCCATGAGAGCTAGCGACACATTGTCTCGCAGGACCGCGCAAATGTCTGCTTAGATCTTGTTGCTGATAATAACGACCGTCGATAACGAAATTTTTTCAAATTTTTTTTCGAAAATTTATCGTTTGCAATATTTCATCTTCGTAAAATGTTCCCTCCAACACTTCGCCTTCTCATCTTGTACAACATATGATGGTGGTGAAGCTGAAAAACTTTTAACATGTTTGAAAATCTAATCACTGAAATGCTGATGGTAGCCCTTACAGAACGGGGGTCCACTGATGCAATACAGACTTGACCGTTTAGCTGAAATTTTGGGTTGGTGAGAGGAATTTTAGAATTTTGAAACATGATTTGGCTACCAAACTTGAAACATGATTTTGTTGTCACGTCGGAGAGCGCCATTCCAATGTCTCTGTTGACGTTGATTTGATCGC